CTGACGAGTAATATTGCTATTTTGCCATTTCTGATTGTTAAACTTAATAGTATGTATTTCTCGTCTACACACACTTATATAATGATCCAGAGTATCATTACGACCAGGTGGTGGTGTCCAATAGGACACAGATGGTGGTGCTCCAAATAAACGAGCGTTGTGAATAGTATCCATGTCCTGGCTAGCTTCATCGCGATCGCGATCAGCGTCCTGCGCATGGTACTCCTTCAGTCTAAGTCGGCGAAAAAAACTGTCATATGATAAAAAACTGATATATGGGTTGTTTTAACACTACAACTGATAAGTTGTTTTGAAAATGTAAATGATGATGATGATTGGTTAGGAGGGGAGACGGGGTGAGTAGTTGAGAATGATAATCATTTACATAATTACTGACCAAATACATGTACAGGAGAATTATTTCGTGAGTGTAACACAAACATTGAAAGTTTCACGGTAGGAGTCAAAACATACAAACACAAATGGAATAATAATATTTATATAGTGCACAAATCCTTGGCAATAGGTACATTATGTACATGTACGTTCAGCTTCAAATATCTTGGCACATGTCAAATATTTTCAATCCTTCATGTTTGCAAAGGGATTACAACATGTTCATGTAAATCGTGTCGTCGATCATTCATCTGTTGACCCAAAGATGACAGACCACATGTACATGCATGTTCTGCTCATTTGTCCGATGCTATTTGCTGTTAGGGTATTTGTTATAACCGGTAATCATTGTGGACAAAAACGGCAAAAAATTGGAACAGCTAGTTTTTTCAGCTATGTAGCATTGCATAAATTTGCGTCGCCGACAATGTCGTGAATTCATTTTGTTCATGGTGGGAGCTGGTATTCAAGACGTCACAGTAATTCCTACAGTGTGGAAACGTACCCAGAGTAACTATTGGTGAGATAATGTAGTTTTACCTACATTCCTGTCATAAAAAATGAATATAGTCATTCTCTTAAGTTCATCACTGAGGGCATGATTTAGACTTATTTCAAGTGTTCAGATAGATAGACTGAGATTACGTTTTTTTCGACACGTTTCGACTCAGCCGTAACCAATCCCATACACTTGACATATGCCTAGATATCAAATGTGAACAGTACGAACTTCACGCTGAAGAGCACTGAACATTACTAAAGACTTTTAACTCAAGTAGAACACATACACATGCACATTATACAGGTGTGGCACATACATTTTTTGTTATTTTGTTGTTGTTGTTGTTTTGTTTTGTATGACCATTTTGATTCTCTCTGAATTGTCACATATTATTACACTAGATCTAAAAATCTTGGTTGAATTGTGGGAATCAAGGCCCCCTACCTACACAATTCCGAGTCACAGTACATTGTACATAGAAACTGACTTTAGGTTGCAAATATTTAGTATTGCACACGTCAAGTTGCAACAATCTTCAAAAATTATTTCTTCATTAAATATAATCATGCAAAATAAAAAGGTATGAGGTATTAATTGTGAAATTAGAGTGATCATAAAAACATAAGTATAATGTCACAGAAAAATAATCATGATTTAGAATCTGTTTTCGTTAACCAGGATGAATGGGTAGAATATATTTTCAAGCTCGTAAAGCCATCTGTATTGTCTGTATTGTCAAGTCTGTATTGTCGTTTGTAGTACCGGTAGGTACATGGACAGATTAAAATACAAAGAAGGTGCCTCAACATGTTTCCATGCCAAGCTTACTATTCTGTGGGAATTCACTGGCTTATGAAGAGGATTAGAGGTGTTAGAAAAACAACTTTCAATGTTTGAACTCCACCTTGTACTTGTGCCATCCATGTACATGTAGGTATGGACAAAGCATTTGATCACTGAAGAACTGGGACGGGAAAATAGCATACACGCTTGCTAATTTGGTTTCAACTAACATTTGGCTCTCCAGACTTACTGGTGCAAACTGGAAATCACACCTACTCCGTACAAAAGTAGGGAGCAATATTGACTTTAACAGATGAGTAAATGTCCTGTCTTTTTCTGCATTCTAAATAATAGTAAAAAGGATAAAGTAAAAACAGTTGTCTTCCTTTACATTATTTGGAGCGAAAGCATGATTATTCACTTTATCGCTATGTAATTCACTTGTTTCCTTGACAACCAGATTAATTGGAAGCAATATCATACTGCAAACATTAATTTGTGAAGTTAACTTTCGTTTATTTTTTAGTAGGCAAAAAAATAAGAAATCTAGTAGTGATGTCAATTTCACCGAAGTTCTTTGAATGAGGAGAGTCGTACACCGAATTAACTGCCTCAAAAACATCATACTAAATAGCTAAAAGTGACAATGTGTAAGTGTGAAAAAAGCTTTGATCCAAATGTTGAAAAAAATAATTTGACAATGTACAGAGAAAACATTATTCTGAGAAATGAAAAGTGACAATGTTTGTTGAGTCGTACATTACGTTTTTTTTTTATACGGTTGATTACTCCGTTTTTATGTTATCACTAGCTCTATCAATTACGTAGTCGTAATTGTGAAACCTTGCTCATTTTATAGAGTGCATCAATTTCTTTGACTGCGTGTGTAATATATCCTATAGTGCTGAGTGTCTAAATAAATGTACCACAGAAAAACACTTGTAAGTGAAAAGTCTGAATAGACAAATTGTCGAGTTATCGAGATGACCAAGATATATAATTCAATTACAATCCAAGTGAATGTTTTTTTATTTTACGTTACTGGTACATGTATGGTAAAGAAAATAAAATACCAACAATTTTGTTAAACTAT